CAATGTGGCCTTGAACTCACAGAGATCCAGAGGGATTTCTATCTCTGGAATGCTAGGATTAAAGGTGTGTGCTATCACTGCCTAACTAGTGGCTTTTCTGTTCTCTCACCCCAGATAAGTTTATTAAGGTACACAATATTTTGAGGAACACAATACCACCACACCAGTGGCTATATATTCCCGTTAATGCATATTTTTATTAAAAGGTTTTTTTTTCAAGTAGAATATTTGATCTAACTTGTGTCCAACAGGAGCTCTTTCCTGAGAACTAAAATGGACATGGAGTTGAGGAAAGCCATAAGGTTGATGTCACAGGAACTAATGTGAAAGGAGTATCTGTGGTGAGACGTCTCTCAGTTTCACTGCCAATTTCTCTAAAATCGATCAGTTCCTTCCCCCGTCTTGACTTTTCCTTGAACTCTATGAAATAGCCCAATGAGTTTCCCCAACATATTAGCTTTTTACCTAAATCTGGTCAAAGTTAGTTCTTTAGTGTAAAACTCAAAGTGCAAGTAAGTCAGACAAACTGAAAATGAATAGCAGATGCCGAGAAAAGTCTTACAAACATTTGAGTTGGGCTGAAGATGTGGCACAATGGATAAAAGACCTTGCTGGACAAGTGTGAGGACCAGAGTTCAGATCCCCAGTATACACATAAAATAACCAGGAGTGTGCATGCATGCATGCACATGTGTGTGTGAGTGTGTGTGTGTGTGTGTGTGTGTGTGTGTGTCTGTGTGTCTGTGTGTGTCTGTATCTCATCCCAGTTCTTGGGAGGTGGACATGGGGGATCCCTGGATTTAGGCTACCTCAACTAGATTAATTCTAGGTTCGGTGACAGTAAAAGGAAATCAAGGATGAAGGATAATACATGCCTGATCTGCATACTTATGTACAAGCATCTTCATGTGCACACACGTGTGAACACACTTGCAATCATGCACACCACTTACAAACATATACAGACAGTAATATAAATATATGATTTTAAATAAAGTGAGGTCATTCATAATGGAACATTATTAGTCCATTCCTCTGATGCCTCTATATAGCGAGCTGATGTTTATAGTGTAGGAAAACAATTCCTCAGTAATTTATAATATAAAAAAACCCATGCAATAACCGCATTAAGTTTTAAAAAATGAGTTCCCTGGTTCATGCTTGTTCTCCATAGGTGGCATTCCTGTCTTCTTGCTATTTAGGATCTACATTCCACTTGCTCTCTTTCTTCACTGTCGAGACATTGAGTCTAGAGAAAGAACCACAGGTGATCTATATCTGGAGAGCCAGAAGGTCAACAAAGCAGCAGCGTGGCGACTGTGACACCTGAATCTATCCCCACGAATCTGTGACCTCTCCAAAGTCTTCCATTCACA